GACTGTATTACTCCACTGTGTGGAATCTGGTCTTCATCATACAATAAGTAAGGCATTATAGTACTTGAATCTTGATGAGATAATATTTAAGCTTTTAGCAACTAATGAAAACAAAAATGATTTTTTTAAAAAGTGTGAATGACAACCAGAGGTCTCTGAGACAACTAACTATAAATCTGAATTTGTTGTTGAGCTTTAGGGCAAAAACTGCCATATCGCGTGTCTTTGCACACAACGCACACAGAAGAAACACAACACACTGAAATGTATCAGGTATCATAGTTTTCAGTCAGTCAATGCATCCAGGACAATGGGCTCCCTTAATTCTGAGAGTAAAAGACAAACATTCTTCCCTAAAATAACGACTCTAATCCCAGAGTTCCATCACCTGCTGAAATCCAAACAGCTTCCAATCTGAGTGGGAGAGGAAACTCAACAGTACCGCAGCTCAGTATGTGATTGCCTGCCACAAGCAGTCGGTGGTGGAGACAGTACATTTGCATTGTTGTAAATGTCTGCACTGTAATCTGTTGAGCGTGCAAATCTAAAGTTGTTGAATCTGAATTTCGACTGACAGACAGGGACAGTGGAATGAGCGACAGTGAGAGGGGTAGACTGAGAAACAGACAGCCAGGTAGCTGAAGAGGAAGAGGGGAGGCAGAGAGCAAAAGTTTTTTAGAAAACAATGAAAGGGAAAGAGGCAGAGGGAGGAGGTGAGAAACCAGAGAGTTATAAGAAGCAGAGTCAGAAGGACAGAGAGACAGTCGTCCTCTCAGATTGAAAGGTAAGAAGGCCATTGCAGTTTGGGATTGTAGAAACTGGTTTCAGATCTCTGGTTTCGGAGAAAGATGGTTTTGTTAACTTGTGCAAACAGGGAGGAGGGAGAGGGGAGAGACTGCAGCAGAGCTCCTTCACAGCACCCTCAAACACAAAAGGTCAAACTTCCAAAAAGATCTGTATATTATTGAAGGTCAGAAAAGTAATACATGTGTGTCTGTGTGTGTGTTTTGCTTTTCTAGGCAGACTACAAAGGAAGAGAAATGAAGGCTGTTCTTGTGCTGCTGGTCTGTGTGGCCACTGTCTGTGCACTGGGTGAGTTACTGACCACATGATTGTGCTGAGTCTGTATAGGGGAGAAGAACAGAAAGGTGAGATGGGGAGGAATAATTTGGGAAGAGAGAGACAGGAGAGAGACAGTACACATGACTATACACATGTACGCTCACAGAAATCCCCCACTGCGTTTTCAATGAAAGGTGGTCTAGGACATCACCCTGACTAGTAACTACAGAACATGAAATAACCAGAGAAGACATTTCTCTCGCAAATTAGTGGCAGAATAGAGAGTGTGTATTCTATACGTTGTGTATAAACTTTGTGCTGTAGGCTATATGGTGTGCGTATGTGTTGTACACTGTGTATTGCAAAATTTGGTATTTAAAATGTGTGTTGACAGGAAGTGTGTGTATTGTATACCGAGTATATAAAATGTGTGTTGTAGGATACACACTGTGTGTATTGTACAGTGTGTGTATAAAGTATGTGTTGTAGGATACACACTGTGTGTATTGTACAGTGTGTGTATAAAGTATGTGTTGTAGGATATACACTGTGTTTATTGTACAATTTGTATATAAACTGTGTTGTAGGATACACACAGAGTGCATTGCAGTGTATATAAACTGTGTTGTAGGATACACACTGTGTGTATTGTACAGTGCGTGTATAAACTGTGTGTTGTAGGGTAAGCACAGTGTGGATTGTACAGTGTGTATAAGCTATGTGTTGAAGGGTACACACCGTGTATTGTACAGTGTGTTTAAACTGTGTTGTACGTTACACACTTTGTGTACTGTACAGTGTGTGTATAAAGTGTATAATGTAGGATACACACTATGTGTGTGCAGTAGGCTATACAGTACGTATATGGAGGTGGTGAGTCTGAGAAACTGACACAAAATGTTTTATATTTGTGGGTCTAACCAACAATCCTCATTCATTCAACAAACAAAGTTCATAAAGTGCTCCCTACAGTCAGGAATGGCGCACAGTGAGGTCATATTTTCTTTGGTGCTGCCACAGTTAAATCACAGCCTAACACACAAGAGAGAGACAAATGCAAGGTCTTGGTTCTACAAGAACAGGCCCACATTGCTGGAGTCCAGGCCTGTAGGAAGGCAGAGCTCACTCACAGCCCTCCTGTGCCTCCACTTCTAAAGACAAAGCCCCCTAGAAACCTGGTCTCTGGGGCCGTCCCACCTTCCGATCCCACAGTAGGATCAGAATTCCCAGGTTTCCCAGGTGACTCCAACAAGTCCTGGCCACTGTGGGCTGCCCAGCCTGCAGGCTCTCCAGAATTACTGGAGTCCCTCTCTTTCTGAATGGTCCTGTACTGGCTAAATGTCCAATGACAACATTATAATCCACATACTCTATAATCCATAGCTATATTACCCTGCAGCTCACTGGAGCTCAGGAGGTGTGAGTCTGGCCAGTGCCTGAATGGGAGACCTCCTGGGAAAGCTAAGGTTGCTGCTGGAAGAGGTGTTAGTGGGGCCAGCAGGGAGAACTCACACTGTGTTCTGTGTGGGTCCTAATGCCTAAAAGTACAGGCGACCCTATACTGTAAAAAAGGTGCTATCTTTCGGATGAGACGTAAAACCGAGGTCCTGACTCTCTCTGGTCATTAAAAATCCCGGGGCGTTTCTCGAAAAGAAGAGGCGTGTTACCCCGGTGTCCTGGCCAAATTTCCCAGTGTCCTTTACCAATCACGGCCTCCTAATAATCCCTATCTATGAACCGTCTTCATCACTCTGCCTTCCTTCCCACTGAGAGCTGGTGTGTGGTGAGCGTTCTGGTGCATTATGGCTGCTGTCACATCATCCAGGTGGGGCTGCACACTGGTGGTGGTGGAGAGGAGTCCCCATTAGCTGTAAAGCACTTTGAGTGGAGTGTCCAGAAAAGTGTTATATAAGTGTAATGTTTATTAGGATTATACAACTAGTGTAAACCTGATACATAACAATGTGGCTCCTTGTGTAAAGTGTATGTACTGTGCTTATGAAGTATGTGCATTACAAACAGTGAATTTAGAGTGTGTGTTTTCCTACCAGATGTGTGGCAACACTGTTCAGCCCGCTTCCCCCAAGCCTGCCCTATTCAGAAATATAAGGACTGGTACAGCGTGGGCTCACTGTGTGTGAAATACTACAACACTGCTCTCAACTACTCTGATGCCGAGGTACTGTTGTACCATCTGTTGTGTTTCTCTGTGTATCCGTCTCTCTCTGGGTATCATGTCTGTCTGTGTACATCTCTCTCTGTTCCTGTGCCACTGTCCCTGCAGAGGTGATCAGTCAGGATGAGTGTTTCATTGTGCGTCTTTCTGTCTGTACTGTAAGTCAACAGTGCCCTATTCCTGTGAAGGAGCACTGTCACAATGTCCGTGTGTCACAAATTACACCACCCCCACAAGCAGGCAATCTAGCTGTCTGTCTGCCTCCATGAGTCATTCCCTGTGTGTCTGTCAGTACTCTCATAGAGTCATATAGTGTTCAGTCAGTGTATTAACCCCTCTCTCTCAGTGCAGTGTTAATCTACTGGAGTGTCCAGTCAGTGTGTCTGTGCTGTATTAACCCCTCTCTCTCAGTGCAGTGTTAATGTCCTGTAGTGTCCAGTCAGTGTGTCTGTACTGTATTAACCCCTCTCTCTCAG